GCATCTGCCCACTGTGCGTAGATAGACATGGGATCTGCCCACTGTGCATAGATAGACATGGCATCTGTCCACTGTGCATAGATAGACATGGCATCTGCCCGCTGTGCATAGACATGGCATCTGCCCTCAGAAATGACTTCCTAACAACTGAAGTTAAAAAATATCCTGAGTTTAATCTTCAGAGTAAATAAGCGAGAAAGTTGCCTTTAGAGACAGATATCCAAACCTAGGAAACTTCAGGCAAGAGACAATGCTTGCAGGGCTCACAAGAGACAATAATTCAGAAATTCTGCAAGCACACCTTTGGCAGCTTGAAACCTTCCACAGTGACTACAATTACATCAAGGAAAGTGCAAACATGACAGACCCCTCTCTCTCTCTCTCTCTCTCTCTCACACACACACACACACACACACACACACACACCACTAGAATGTCAATGTGCCAGCATACTATTGCAACAATTGCTCACAAGAGGATGTGGGCTGTATCCTTGGCTTGACAGGGACATAGGGTTCTGTGACTCAAGCACAGCTCTGCTTTTCTTTCCTTTGGGCAGTGCTAGAGCTCAAACCCAGGGCCTCTAGTTCATGCCAGGCAGCATTCTACCACAGAACTATATCTCTAGGTCTTAAAGAATATCTTTTATTTATTCTTTGACAGTGTGGTACAAGTAAACAATGTACCTTGATCATATGCCCCCAATTTTCTCTCCCTTCTATTTTTCCTTTCTTTCTTTCTTTTTCTTGCCTTGTTTCGCTTGTAACCTGTTGGAGTATTGATTGGTCTTGTTGACTTGGTCCTGTGCAGGTGACCACAGCTGCATGAGTCGTGAGTGCAATGACCGGTCCATGTCCAGAGGACAGCCTTTGCAGCACTCCTCCCTACCCCCCATCCCTACACTCTTTCTGCCTTCCCTTGTGAAATGTTCCCTGAGCCTTAGGGAGAAGGTATTGATAGAGATGTCTCAGTTCGAGCTGAGCACCAGATAATCACTTATTTGATAATTGTTCTTTAACCAATCAGGAGTCTTCATGAACTGCTTAATAGATTTTCTGTCCCTGATAAGTTTTTTTCCCCAACACAGTAAGTCAGATCAAGCCAAATTGAAAAAGTACAACAACAGGTTTATTGGAAGACTTTATAGGTGATGATGTGTAAAGGGTTAACGAAAATGCTGCAGGTCCCCGAGTAGCTGCAGCGGGCAGCGGGCCATGAGATCATGCCGCAGGTCCCCGAGAGGGGGCAAGCAGCAGGCCATGTGGTGGCAGGCAGTGGGTCCCAAGAGCAGCCAGTCCCAGGCAGGAATGGCATAATTCTCCTACGATGAAAGACAGACAGATGGGCACACCACGAGACCATGCCACAGGTCTCCAAAGGTGTCTGGCAAGAGACAGACGGATAGGCACGCCATACAGAGTGAGGTTGGATATTTATTTAGTGGATTATGGAGGGGAAAGGGAGAAGGGGAGAAGAGCAGAGAGGCGGTAGGGAGGTTAGATCATTACAATGTGTCTACCAGAAGCTGGGTTTGTGCCCAAGTATGATCAAAAGTTGAGCCCTTAGGCGGGGACTCAGGAGTCATCAAGGGAGGAAGCAGCAGTAGCTGCCAAGAATGAAGGACTGGGCTTTTTGGCATCTTTCCTTTGTTCAGAGACTCTCTGAGAAGGCAGGGTTTGGTGGTGGTGGGGTAGCTTTCCAGATGGTACAGGGGTGAACCAGAGGCTCCAGGAGAACTTTACTAACCACTGCAAAGAGAAGCTTCTCTGGTAAAGGTTGAGAATGGTTCTAGTCTCTGTCCATAAACATAAATAGAAAGCAGTTTGACGACATGACCATTTAGCATAAGAGTAGTAGGACCCTCCCACCCCAGGCCTATGACGTCCTGAGTCATTGGCTTTTGACCCGGTTTATAGTAGCATGCCTGAATTCCCTCCTGAGTAGCAGGCTTCAAAACCAAGCCCAAAGTGGTTGGTTGCCTCTATACCCTCCCAGCCACTATTGCACCAAGTCCAAAGTGGTTGGTTGTCTCTTTACCCTCCCAGCCACTATTGCATCAAGCCCAAAGTGGTTGGTTGTCTCTATACCCTCCCAGCCACTATTGCATCAAATCCAGAGTGGTTGGTTGCCTCTATACCCTCCCAGCCACTATTGCACCAATCACTTGCCTGTCAGGCCAGTGTCGTGGAATGCAGGGCTCACACTGGGTCATACCAATGATGGCTTTTCTCCCCTAGCACCTGCATTAACACCTTAGCCAGGTAGAGAGTTTTCAGATGACTGCCAGCTTGACTTCTACGTCCTGAAACCAAAGTGTGCTGTCTTCAACAATAGAGCCTTCCAGTTTATTTTTAGTTGGTAACAAAGAGCAATGGAAATAGCCTATGTTGTTTTGGGAGCCTCTAGGGCCTTCCTGAACCAAAACTCTTAGGGGAGCATCCCACACCAGGCACTAAGAGTTTCATTTAAGAGCCACATCTACTTGTGGAAACACTGTCCACCTATTCAGAGCACCTAGTCTCAAAATCCTTGTTAAACTGCCGTTTTAAATTAGTTTATATAATTGTAGACTATAAACATTTTTCAGACATCTTTAATTTTGTTTAACTGGTCCCCTACACACCTCCTCACCTCCTTGTCTCTGTCCTCCACCCCCATCCCTGTTGAAACCTTTAATTCCCAATATCCTCTTCCTGCAACCTTCAAACCATGTGTTCTACCATCCCTTGACCCCTTAAGAAATTTTCTCTTGCCTTTCTTTTATTTCCAGTTTCTTGAACTCTACAACTTCTCCGAATTAAACATATAATTTTTGACTGCTCATCACTGAACTTCTTCCCCTCAGTGGGTATCTTGGTGGCAGTTGGAGTCCATCTCTTTTTATAGAGATAGATGTGGTACTATCTGCTATAACCTCAGTATTGGGAAGTAGAGACAGGAGAATTAGGAATTCATGGCCAGTCTGCCTCAAAAACACAAACAACAATATCACAAGAAGCATAACACATTCCCTGCTTTTTTAGCTTCCTCTGCAGCTGTACGAACGAGGTTCAGTTAGTGAGATGCCCATCTTCATCTTTGAGTCAGGAGTTAGTGATACACAGATGAAGTTCAACAGAGAATCTTCGAGGTGGTGGGTATGAGAACACAGCTCAGCGGCCAACAACAGATTCTCTTCTGAACTAGGTCGGTCGCAGGGAATACCAACTCAAAGTCAGGATTTCCGGTTGTCCCTGTAATTCCCCCAACTACCCAATGGGCTGTGTACACATCCATTCTCTGCTTAACTCAGGAGTCGTTGGCTGCTGTGGCTCATAACCGAGAATCACAACCAACACAACTGGTTTAACCGCTATTAACTGGCAGATTTACACATGGCTTTCACGTTTCCTGGGCGTGGGGCTGGCACTTCAATAATTTGTGTCCTGCTAACCCCTTGAGCAGGAAAGGGTGAGAGGCTGCCAGCTAGACAGGGAAAATGCATCTTTGTTACCCAAAATGATCATTTTGCACTTAATTAACATAATCTTTTCTACTTAGCTGTAGATTTTTAAAAGTCATATTGCCCATCTGTAGACTTACAAAGGAAAATATAAGCAAAATAACAAACTATTAAGGGTTATCCAATATCCAAGTCTTCTGAATCATTTTTGTTCTCGAAGTTGAAAAGGCTTTTTGTTTTTGTGTTTTTGAGGCAGGTTTCTCTGTGTTGCCCTAGCTGTCCTGGAACTCACTCTGTAGACCAGGCTGGCCTTGAACTCACAGAGGCTGCCTGCCTTTATCTCTCAGGGCTGGGATTAGAGGCGTGCATCACCACCACCTGGTGAAAAGGAGTTTTTTTTTTTATTGATTATCATTTCCCCCAAGAGATAGTTTATAACTATAATAGAGTCTGAATACAGATTTTTCTATGTAAAACCCCAAATTTGAATATTATTCCCCAAAAGCACCTTAAGCTTTTTATTTTTAAGTAATTCCAGATGTGACTATATTATGAAAGCAGTTCCCGAACATTCCTATCACCCTCAAGAAACCCTGTATCCGATAGCAGCTGCTCTTGCTCTATGCTCTCCCAACCCCACAACCGCACATCTATTTCCTGTCTCCACGATTGAACTTACCTCAAAACGGACTGTGTTCACCTCAGTGCCACCCCGTGTATCATCAAAGGTATTGGGGTGCCCCCTCTCTTCTGTCTCTAAGACCTTCTATGCCACCGGGAGGATCCAGTGTGCAAGCTTTGATGCACACATACATACAGGGAATGGTGGCACCATCAGATGGTCCTTTGGCTGAGAAGACTGCAACATGAGCCCCAGTTTCAGAAAAAGTTATGACGTGAACGGAAGTAAATCCACACCTTGGTAATAGTGAGCACTGTAACAGGAGGTGGTTATTGGGAGCATTACCATTTTGTTGGATTTTATAGACCACATATGACCTGCTGATCTCACTGTGTAAGTTCTCATGAGAGAGTTGGGCAATACAACTGAAGAAATAGTCACCTAGGAAATGGTGATAAGTTGCCATTTCAAGGTTCAGTGAATGTTAGTAATTTAATTATAGAATCATTCTCCTCCTGTTCACGAACCTTCTTGAAGCAAAGACTCAACTACCCATCAGTTATTAGAAGAACTCAAAAGAAGAGGGGTTGGTATGTGGAGGGAATGGAGGCCAACTTCATGAGGTGGGGGCAGCGTGTTCTCAGCCCTCACCTGACAACAATTGGTGTCCAGACTACTGACTGTTCTGATGGCCCTTTCTCTGTCCTTCCTGCCCTGTCCTGTGTTGAGCAACCGACAGTTACAGATGCATTTCCCGGTTACTAGTCTCCTCTGGCATCTGGAGGGCTTGGTATTTCAGGGAGTCTGGAGGTGGGAAGCCCAGAGACCAGGCGTTACCTGCCCTCACACAGTTCACCATTACTGCCCAGTGAGGACCAGTCTGGGCACAGGCTTCTTTCTTCTGCCTCCTTCCTGTTAGGCAACACCTCTGCCTTGGCTAAGTTCTGGTAAGAGCTCCCTTCTCTTGTCCCTCCTTCCTAGAACTTCCCAGCCTCTGGTTCCTGGATGCAGCTCCTTGCTGGTAGCTGTAATGCTGTCCACACCTTTGCAAAGCTCCCCTTTGTGAAGTCTCTGCTGTGACGCCTGACTTCAAGTGCTGGCTGTTGAGGGCTCCCTCTTCCCCTCAGGAGTGACTCACAGTAACCTGGGCACCTCCTTTCTTCTCCGAACCTCAAGCCTGTGATGGCTACTAACCCTCTTCTATATAATGCCCTCGCACTGAGCCAGGCTCTGTTTTGCCATGCGAGGAAGGCGTGCAGTTTTGGACCAATAAGTGAAGTTCAGGGAGAAATAATAAAAACACAGTCTGGTCTACAGATCAAGGTGATATCTGACGATCCAGTGTCCCACTGGCAGAGTTGAGAGTCTGAGCCCCAATTTCTTATTGATTTCTCAGATGGCTTGGAACGCAGAAGGGCATAACTCATTGCTCCCCTCCAATCCCAATGACTACCCTCAAATTTAGATTTCCAACTTCAGACAATCATCTTTCCATTTTCCAAAGCTTTTCAACTTGAACAAAATCAAACCACACCCATAATTTTTCTTTTTCTCTGCCCACACCTGGGTCACTTCTGATGTTCAGTGTTTCATTTCACCGTGCCATGCTGCGCACGGCAGAAACCTAACAAACGCTCCTCGCACTGTCTTCTTCGCCCTCCTAGGAAGGAATTTTCAAATATTTTATATCTTGTCTGTGGACATTATCACTAATCTATTTGATTTTCTTCATCATCACAGCTAACATTTTGTAAAAGCCACCACCCATTCTTGGCACAACAACCAAGACTAAATCAGCTACTGTCTCAGGAATAAGACAGAAGGACTGACGAAAGCAGCTTCAGGAAGGACTTGTCCGTCTTTGCTCACAGTCTGAAGCTACAGTTCATGGTGGGCAGCTGGCCGCACTGCATCCAGAGTCAGGAAGGAAAGACTGTACTCACCTCATTTCTCAGATCAGTTAACCGTATCCAGACAATCCCCACAGCTGAGCTTAGAGGTCTGTCTCCCAGTGAGTCTAGGTCCCGTCAGGCCAACACTCAATGTTAACCTTCACATGACCTCTAGAAATAAGGCCTCTCTTACTCTCTAAACCACGTGCCATTCAGATCTGTGACAGTTACCCTTCACTGTAGATGTAGAACCAGCTGAGACAAACCTCTGGGCACGGCTGTGAGGGCATTTCTACAGAGGGCTAACTGAGGAGAACAGGCTCACACTGAATGTGGGCAGCAGCATCCCATGATCTGGGTCCCTGAACCAAACAAAGGACAGGGGAACAGTCTAAATGCCACCATTCACCCTCTCCGTTTCCTGACTGTACCCGCGGTGTGACCAGCTGCCTCATACGCCTGTCACCATGCTTTTTCCGTGACAGACTATATTCAATAGCAAAACAAAATAACAAATCCAGGCAAGGACTGGCCTCCCCTTCCTACCACGTCAGAAGCTACCCCATAGTATCCACGTACTCCAAGCTCGTTGACCTCTCTGTTCCTTGAAAATGCTTGGCTCTGCTCTACCTCAGGTCTTTTGTAGCCTTCATCTCCCACAGTCCCAGCCAGACCCTCTCTGTGTCCCTCTTTACCTAAGCTCAGCCTCTGGGCCTGCACTTTTACAGCTCCTGCCCGCGTCCTCTATAACACTCGACATAGTTATCTGTATAAGCATTTTCTCAGTTTTGCTTGCTCTACTACATTCAAAACTCCATCAAAATAGACACCGTGAGCTGGGCAGTGGTCCACATGCCTTTAATCTCAGCACTTGGGAGGCAAAGGCAGGTGGAATTCTACACCTTGATCCCAAGCAGCAGGAGGAACAACTGTGTCTAACACTGGGCATAGCTTGAGTGTAGGAGACTTCAAAGCCTGCCCCACAGTGACCACTTCCTTCAACAAGGCCACACCCCCTAATAGTGCCTCTCCCTATGAGATTATTGGGGCCAGTTATATTCAAACTACCACATTCCACTCCTATAAGTCCCCAGAAACTTGTAACAGTATCATAATGCAAAATGCATTCAGTCCAACCTCAAAAGTCCCCATAGTCTATCACAGTCTCAACAGTGTTTTAGAGTCCAAAGTTCAAAGTTTCTTCTATGACTCATGTAATCTCTTAACTGTAATTCAACAGTTATATATATCACCTTTCCAACATACAGCGTGGAAACGGTGAACCAAAGTAAGACCGAAAACCAGCGGGGCAAACTCAAGACACTGTATCTCCAGGTCTGATGTCAAAACGCTCTTCAAACCAAGTACTAGGGAAGAAGAGGAAGGTGGATCTCTGCGAGTTCATGGTTGACCTGGCACTCACAATGTAGACCACGGGGCCTTGCTGGAGTAGATGTGGCATTGCTAGAGGAAGTGTGTCACTGTGGAGGTGAACTTTCAGATGCTCGAGCCAGGCCCAGTGTGACTCTCTTTTCTGGCTGCCTGTGGATCCAGATGTAGAACTCTCAGCTACCTCTCCAGTACCACGTCTGCCTGCTTGCTGCCATACTTCCCACCATGGTGATAAAGAACTAAACCTCTGAACCTGTAAGACAGCCCCCAATTAAATATTTTCTTTTCTAAGAGTTGTTGCGGTCATGCTCTTCATAGCGACAGAAACTATAGCCAAGACAGTGGTACATGTCTTTAATCCAAGCATGCAGAGCTAGAGAGAGAAGTAGCAGAAGCTCCGGGTCCTCCTCAGAGCCACAGCGAATTTCAGGCCTGCCTGGGCTACATGAGACGCTGTCTCAAATTAACAAACAGATACCTTTTTAAAAGGTGGAGACTCAGTAACTCATTTTCAAGTCTCCTCTGGGCTGGAAGGAACTGTTTCTTGACTTCTCAATGAACGTCACTTATTTGCCCTTCAGTTTTTTAAAAAAGATGGAGACAGAAATCTGATGTGTGCTACCCCAACTCAAGGAAAAGCTGAAGCTTCAATAAGCTGGGAAAGGAAGGGCCTTCCCTAGCACCTCAGGAGAGAAGCAAGTCTGGTGGAATTAAATGTTCAAATGTCAATAAGCTGGGAAAGGAAGGGCCTTCCCTAGCACCTCAGGAGAGAAGCAAGTCTGGAATTAAATGTTCTATGAGACACTAGCGTGTCTCCAGGGTCTGATCAGCACAGCCTCTAGCCCCGTCTGATAGGCATCTGCTACTTTAAGCCACCCGGTCTGAGTTACCTTGCCGCAGAAGTCACGTGAAACTGCTGCTGGAATCTTGCTCTGGCCTCCTGGGCTCCCTTTTCTTTCCATCTCCAGCAAATGAATTCAGAGGAGACACACAGGCTATACTGTAAAAGACAGACAGGACAAACTACAGAATAATAAGGCACTCTCAATAATGGAAGGTATGGAATGATGTAAGGTGTAAGGTGAGTGTGGATAACGAGGAGTGAAATTGTGTCCGCTTAGGTTTTGAGGAGGGCTTTTTAAAAATCCCCAGAATAGCTTGCTAAGAGGTGTTTTAGGAAGCTGTCTAGATGTCTGACATTTACATTAATTCTTTAAACAAAAATGTGTGCTTGGGGCTGGGGAGATGGCTTGGGAGTTAAGAGAGTTGTATACTATTTTTAGAGAGGATGCAGGTTCTGTGTGTACTTCCAGCTCCAGTAACTCTAACAACCTCTTCTGGCCTTTATAGGCATTTGCACTTACATACATACAATTAAAAGTAATAAATATAAATCTAAAACAATTTTGTGTATGTCTTATGTGCCTGTAAGCGCATATGTGTGTGCATGCGGAGGTCAGAGATACTGGGTGGTTTTCTCTGAGACTATTTATTTAGCGTGTGTGAGTGTATGCACATGTGGTTCACGTGGGTGTGTACATGTGTAAGTACAAGTGTACAGGCATGCACGTACACGTGTGTGCGTGTGGCGGCCAGAAGTAAGTGTTGGGTGTCTTCTATCATCCTCCACTTTATAATCGAGTCAGAGCTCCTCACTGAACCTGGAGTCCGTCAGTCTGGCTTAGACCGGGGTCAGAGAGCTGCAGGTGCTGCACAGGGCCCTGCCACGCAGTGCTGCAGCTCCAGACGCATCTGTCGTGACCAGCTCTTCAGTGGCTGCTGGAGAGCCCGACTCAGGTCCTCACACCTGTGCAGCAAGTGCTTCAGCAGCTAAACCATCTCCCTACTTTTCCCTTGGATTGGTTAGCAAAGCCCACAATTGTAGGAGACTGGGACTTCTAGAGCAATAAAGAGAGTATCTGATCACGTGAGATTTAGCTACAGATTGAAAGAGCTGAGAAACAAAGGAGGGACTACCATCGATTTGAGCCTTGCTGGAGACCAAACCAAGGAATCATTTTAACATTTAACATTGGGGTACTGCGGCGTGTTAAAACCCACAACAGACAAATCTAATACTTAATTAGGGATTGACATTCTTAGGCTTTAAGCCAGGAAAAGAAACTCTTTTTCAGTCAGGAAAAGCATGATAGTTCTTTAATTTGGTTTTAGCTGGGGAAGAGGATAGGGCTGATTGTCTTGCTTGTGTTGGTAACCCAAACAGGAAGTTAGGGGGTTCCTCCTCCTTGTTTCTCTTTCTATTTACAGTCTCTGTCTGCCAGCCCTGCCGGTCCTTGCTCCTGCTTTGCTATTGGCCATTCAGCTCTTTATTAGACAGGCAAAGAAGCACAGCTTCACAGAGTTAAACAAATGCAATATAAACAATAAACAAAAGTAACACATCTTTACCTCATTAAACAAATGTTCCACAGCATAAACAAATGTAACGCACCTTGAAACAATATTCCCTGACAGTCCTATCTTGCCACACTGAGGGCATGGAGTCTTCAGAGAATTCTTAAAATGCAGGCAGTTTTCTTTTACCTGTCTACCAACAGACACAGCCTCGAGGAGAGGAGCTGGTGGGAGATCTCACGCCACCCTGTAAGGGTACAAGGACCTCTGTGCGTCTTCCGTTCTCTTTCTAGCGGCTTTGACCTCTTTTTCTTCTCTCTGGCCCTCCATCAAACTCAGCTGTGGAAAGCAGAATTGACACGATTTAGTAGGCCATCACTGGAGTCGGGAGTGCCAACGATGCGATTTCCTTCTGAGGTCGGGAGCAGGTTAAGGATCTGTCTCTGTAAAGCTTTTACCTCCAGAGAAGGAAGGAAGTGCATTTTGTATGGCTTCCTGTGGGGCTCTCAGAAGGCACTGGGGTTTTATTTTTGTTGTTGTTTGTTTGTTTGTTTGTTTTTGGCCCCTGTTCAAAAACTGTCAGCTATTAATCCATTTTCCTTGACATCTAATTGAAATTGTTTGACTACATTGCTTGTAGAAAGCCAAGTCAATTTATTCCTCTCTAAGGTTCGGGGATCCAGTTCATTCCAATTATGAAAGATACATATAAGAGGTGAGACAAAAGGGACCACAGTGGAAATTGAATGATTGTGGTGTCCCCCTTATAGTTGGGAGCCTGAGGATTGGCATTATCAGGCCCTACCCCATTCTAGAAACTTGGTCAGTGAAAACCAAGTTTCTTGGATGATAGGGGAAAAGGTTCAAGTCTCTTCTGTGAGTGAGTGTGTGTGTGTGTGTGTGTGTGTGTGTGTGTGTGCTCTTGAACACACACATACATACGTGTGTGGATATGTGTGTACACATGTATGTGAAGGCCAGAGGTCCTTCAATGACCTGGAGCTCACCAAGTGTGCTAGGACAGTTGACCAGTAAATCAAGGGTTCAGCTGTGTCCACCTCCCCAGCTCTGAGATTACAAGTGCAGACCTCCGTGCTCAGCTTTTTCATGTTCTGGGGGAAGAGGGGGGGTCAAGCTTGCATCCTTATGCTTGCACAGAAAGCACTTTACCAACTGAACTATCCCCTAATTCTTCTGCTAATTCTTGCATTTAACACCCATGGGACGAATGTCTTTTAATAAACCTCAGCTCCGCTTCGTACTGGTTTATCCTGAGATTGCTTTCTGTGTTGAAGCCAAGAATCCTACTTTGGTCTGAATAGAGGTCCAGGAGGGAAAAGGGAATTCTTCAGGCTTCTGCAGGAGGCAGAGTGGAGAGCCCCTCCACCGCTGTGGCTGCTCCCCATGAGAAGCTTGGGTTCTAACCGCAGCAGCAACCATGGGATAGACACATTCACCAGCAGGAAGTGGGGCCAAATGAACAAGCATCACTCTCTGTCCCAATCTGTATCTAGGCTGCTGCCAGCTGCTGCCCACTCTTGGGGAGAGACTTCCCCTTCAATTAATCTTTTCCAGAAAGGTACTCAGACCAGATTAGCCCAAAGGTGTATCTCTTACTTGATACCAGCACCAATCAAGTTGACTGTCAGGATTAACTATAAAAGGAGCGGCAGGCGACTTCCCACCGCCTGCCCGGCTAGCTCCCTGCCGCCTACCTGGCTAGCTCAGTTGGTAGAGCATGAGACTCAGTCTCAGGGTCGTGGGTTCGAGCCCCACGTTGGGCGCCATTTGTAGAAGGAGTGGCGGGCTGCGTTCCTGCTGCCCAGCTCCTGGCTGCCTGACTAGCTTATGCCCCGAAATAACAACATACAAATTGTATTCATTTAAATCACTGCCTGGCCCATCAGTTTCAGCCTCTTACTGGCTAACTCTCACAACTTGATTAACCCATTTCTAATAATCTGTGTATCACCACGAAGTGGTGGCTTATCGGGAAAGATTCAGCATGTCTGACCTGGCAGCTTCATGGCGGGCAGCTCTCTGACTCTGCTTCTTTCTCCCAGCATTCTGTTCTGTCTACTCTGCCTATCTAAGCTGCTGTCCTATCAAAGGCCAAGGCAGTCTCTTTATTAACCAATGAAAGTAGTACATAGACAGATGACCCTCCTACATCAATTAACCATCATAAATGGTCACCTCTCTCATTCTTTCAGAAGATGAACTCACCTTTAAGTTTGTTCGTGCCTTGCATTTGAAGTACTCTTTGATGGCACCCTTGGCTTTAGACTGTCACAGTCCTTAACAACTGCACAACTACAGCCAACCACTTTGCAGGAGTTCCTCTCTTGATCGCTTGCACAGAGGCCTACTCATTCCTCCAGGTTCTTGTTGTCACCAACCTTAATGAGGCTGATTGGTACAAAGAGCTTCCACAGACTTGACACACACAGGCTCATCATAGTTGGATGCAAAAGAAGGTGGGCTTGGCACTTATCTAAGGCTTCGGGAGCTCATAAATTCCATATTCCAGGTCCTCATGGGTGAAGTTGGCTTTCAGGCCTCTTTTGAAACAGTGTGAACATCTACTATTTCTCCAGCAGCAGAATTTTCCTCCCCAATGGCTGCAGGTTGGCTGGAGACGGTCCTCGGCACTTCTTGTGAAGCAGAGTTAGTACCCATTACTCCTCTAGCAGCAATGCTGTCTTCTGTCCTGGAAGTGAATTATGGGGAAGGCCTAATTGTGAACACATCTGCCTCTGCCTCTATGCAACTTGTCAGCACCAGGAAAGTGCTCATTTTCTTTCTTACCTTTCTTAATCTCCTTCTGTAAATGGAATTGTAGGGTGGTTCTATGAGGGGCACTGTTTAGATTTAATGATGAGAGAGATGAGCTAATTATTGTAAAAAGAAGATTATAAACATTCTGGTCCTGAGTAAGCACAGTTGATTTGTTGCCTTTTACATTCTTGTTTTGAGATGTATTTAGAAAGAAACATATTGCCTCTTAATGGAACAGCCTACCTCCATCTTGGGCTTGAAAGTCATCTCATAGCGAAGACAAACTATGTTCATTCCTGTTTATGGTAAACCTGTTTCTCAAGGATTGTGCTATGCCTCACCTGTAACCTTAACAGCTCTGTACTGCTTGTTCCAAGAAATGGCCACCATACTTTTGTTGAAAAAGGTTGCTATGACCACCTTGCAATCATGATTTCACACTGTGGGATAATCTTTCTGTATACTATGAAGAGGTATCTGTTCTACCTCACCTGCCTAAGGCGCCTTCTGATTGGTTCAATAAAGAGCTGAACAGCCAATTGCTAGGCAGAAAAGGATAGGCAGACGATCCAGGGAGAGAAATGAACTTTGGGGAAGAATCTGAGAAACAGGGGTTCTCCAGTGAGATGAGGAGGAAGTCAGATGTACAATGTGAAAGAGAGGTAATGGGTCCTGCGGCAGAATGTCGATTAATATAAACGGGTTAATTTAAATTTTAAGAGCTGATGTAGGAGAGTCTTCTATCTTTCTGTTGCTTTCATTGGTTAATTAACAAAGAAAACTGCCTGGCCTGATAGGTCAGAACATAGGTAGGTGGGGAAGACAGAACTGAATTCTGGGAGGAAGAAAGCAAAGGCAGAGAGCTGCCCACCATGAAGCTGCCAGGTCAGACATGCTGAATCTTTCCTGGTAAGCCACGACCTCGTGGTGAGATACAGATTATTAGAAATGGGTTGAATCAATCTGTGAAAGTTAGCCAATAAGAGGCTGGAGGTAATGGGCCAGGCAGTGTTTAAAAGAATACAGTTTCTATGTAATTATTTCGGGTAAAGGGAGCCGGGTGGCAGGACATAGCCCACCACTCCTTTTTACTACAAAGAGCTTGTTGAGAGCAAGCCTAAGCTAAGACCAAGCTTTCGTAATTAATAATAAGACTCCACATCATTATTTGGGAGTCAGTGGTACAAACAGAGATAAACTACATCTTTGTTTCAAGGGTTTGTTATGACCAACTTGTTGTGCTTCTGTTTTGCTTCCATAACCCCACTTATTTGCTTGCCAAATTCCCCATTTGGAAACCCCTACCCCTGAGCCTTTATTTTCTTCCCTTTGTCCCATGCTGACCTCTTGAACCCCACCTTAGGAGAAGGTAGCCCATACACATGAATAAAAAAGCTTGCTTTAATTAATTGGCTATGATGATTTGGATCTTTTTCCTCAAATCTTCAGGATTAACACTCTCAGGCAATTTTAGGTTTATCGGTTGTGTTGAAGTTTCTTGGCTTTCAGTCAGCAGGGATGGCAAAACTAGATTCCAGGGCCAGGGGCTAATTTCCCTTCTCCTGTCCCTTGGATTTTCCCTTTCTATGCCACCTCAGCTGCAGAGCAAGACAGGGGAGTCCACATGGTACCATTATGAAGATAAAGAAGTTTGGATCACAGTCGGCCAGAAACCGCAAAACTCGTTTCCAGAACCTTCCACCAGCCTCACTTTCAGGTCTCTAGTCCTTGAAATTTCATGAATTAACTCAGATGGGACACCCAGAGCATAATGTAGAAGACAGGCAGAGTTAATTACAGAATAATATTAGTAGCCTCAGAGATGAGAGTGAGCATGGCCAAAGGGGCCTGCATGAAGGAATCCACTCTCTCTGTTAGAATGCACAAAGGTCAACCTACGTTTTAAAACAGACTTGTAAGAGTTCCTTAAGTCCCTCTAACAGAGAGCTGCCTGAGGAGCAAATGCTGTCCAGGTGACTGACTGACAGGCCCCTTTTAATTAGTTCTTATTGGGAGAGGTGACAGTAGACAATTTATAATGCAGAAAGCCCGCTACTCCTGGTCAAACAAGTTTATCCAACAAAGGGCTAACAAAAGGGTACAGTGATATCTTATTTAAGTTTCAATAAATAAAGCTCACCTAAAAGATCAGAAGGGCGAAGCTAAGCCACTAGAAGTCAGGCAGTGGCGTCACACCTTTAATCCCAGGATTTGGGAGACAGAGGCAGATGGATCTCGGTGAGTTCAAAGCCACCCTGGGCTACACAAGATCAATGCAGAAACAAACCCCGGTGGTGGTGGCTCACATCTTTAATCCCAGTACTAGGGAGTCACACACCTTTAGTCCCATAACTAGAGGGAATGTAAAATGGGAGGAGAGAAGCTTAGTCTGCAGTCTGCCAGCCTTGGTAGAGGTAAGACTTCTCTAGTGGCTTGGCTGCTTTGCCTTTCTGGCTTTCTGGTTGAACCCCATATCTGTGGTTTTCATTATTTGTGCTACAAGAAAACAAATCGCAGGACCAATAATCACCAACATCCCAGAAACATGTACACTCCCACCTTCAAGAACTCAGCCCCCAGGGCCCCATCATCACGAACAGCCAACGCGACGGCACGTTTTAACCCTCAGGACCTTCACTGTGTCGCTCCTATGCGCATGCTCCATACCCACCGCAAACCTTTCCATTGATATCGTAAGCAGGATAGTCTTTCCTGACACTTGTGCCCTCTCTGTGGTCGGATCACAGCATACCCCTGCCCATCTGCTCCACCCACAACAGACTCGTCTTCCAGCTCACCCATCTCTTGGCCCTCTATCACCAGCAATTGGTAAGTGATCCCTCTCAGTTGGTGTAAATGCTTCCCTGAGCCCAAAGAAATGACCGTTGATCCTTCCGCATGCCTCTGGTGCTCTTGGAGGTGGAGGTACCCCAGTCACGGTCTTTAAGGTCACTGCCGATCCTCTTCACCCACCCCACTCCTGACCCTTCCCTTGGGTGAAGCTCCATTATTGAGCGTGGTTTTTCATCTTTTGGCTTCGCACAGAGTCTCCTAGGGCAATTAGCCCCTGGTCCCCGTTGAGTGGGATGTGTTATCCATACCTTCTGGCTTTCCCTTAGAATGCCTTTTAGAAAGTCTCCAGCCTCTCCACCTGCACCCAACCAGAAGGGCCCCAAATTTATTCACCTTTGCAGCCAAATCTGGCCTCAAATATCCCTTAGATAACTAATCCGCACCCTAGATTCCAATATTAGTCAGAACCTTAATAAATTCTCTGAGTGATCAGGAAAATGGAAAGAGATTTCCCATTCCCTGTTTATCTTTTCTGATCTAATCCATTTGTTTTTGTCTGGTCTTGCCCACCCCAAGTAAATGTCCTGGTTTTAAATTATCTTTGATGGATCTGTAAATTTGTTGCAAAGTGGGAGCCAGGAACTGGACCTAGCAGGAGGGGAGAAAATAAAGAAGTAGGTCATTGCAGCGTGCACACACCAGGCATACACTCCCCATTGGCTGGTGCAACTCTCAGCTCCCTCCTGGAGCATCCTCTATCTATAGTACAAACTCAAAAATTTCCTACTTCCAATCTTCCTGTTCCTCCAGATGCCCTTCCCTATGTATATAATCCAGCCATTCTGCTTACCTGGCCTTTTTGTCTACCCTTTATTCTCCTGGCTTTCCCTTTTCCCCACCCACCTCTCCACAAGTAGCCCAGCTCAGGGTCATGTTCACTCTGGATTCTCTCAGACGTCCCCGCTCTTTTATCTACAATAAACCACCTCCTCTTCCATACCTAGGGGGAGTCGTGTCCTTCCTTTTCATTTCTTTTTTTCATTCATCTGGTGCCAACTCCTCTAGAGTGGCATAAATGAGTCCCCTCCCAAGGATCTCAGCCAGTCTACACCAAGCTGCCAATCTGGCTCTCCTGGGTTATGTACAGAACGCTTGTTTCTGCCGGCTCCTACCATCAAATTTGACCCCAAACTGTAGAGTCCGCCTTCTAGGCTACTTCACGTGCTCTAACCGTTCCGCTCCTTGCTGATGCCGTAAGTGTCCCTACAGCTCCCAGAGACTTCTACCTCCTGGGCACCTGGCTCGCATCTCTTGACTCTGGCCCACTGTACCCATCTGGGTATCTCTACTAAACACACTTAGCGTCTCCCTTTTCCCCTACTCAGCTAGCTTTCTTTGCCTCCCCCTCCGAACTTTGGTCCCACTAAGCCATCCTCTCTGGCCCCAGCCATCAGTCTGCAGCATCTGCTCTCAGCTTACGGAAATTCCCTTCAGTGGAATTTTATTTTTCGACCCCTCTCTCTCCTTCTTGAACTACAAACAGCTTGGTCTCCGTACCGATCAATGGTCAAAAATTGGCACACTTGATTTCTAAATTCTCACAAATCATAACTGCCACAGCACAAACAAATGATCCCCAAATCTCTCACATCTACACTTGCTCTGCTCGACACATCCTCAACCTCCCACTTTTAAAAATCTTGTATTTCTACTATTTCTCTGTGTTCTGCTCTCAAAAAAAAAAAATCCCTTAAGACATGCTGTAAACGCTACTTCAAGATTTGTAAGTTCACTAGGTATGGTCGAAAATCTATAAAATCTGTAACAAAATTTGGCTTCAGATTTAAAGTCTTACAATTAAAAAGTCTATACAAAGGTAATGTTTATTTGCTACAGCATACTATGTATGCGATTCAACTCATGTTTAGAATATACTTGTGTACATAACTTAGATTCAACTCTTGTTTAAGAATAGATCTAAAAAATAGATATTTTAAATAGCAACTACATGGTTGGCAGCCATTTTCGCCAGGGTTAAAGAGTACATGCCATGTGACTTTAACCACTATCTTCAGATGACCATGTGGCACAGAACAGCCATAAAACTTCTTAGTCCTGACGAGCCCTGTTTACCACTGT